GAATAGCGTCCTTAGTTTCTCCTGTAATCAGTTCCTAATTCAATCGATAGCGTTGGCATTAAGAATTATCAAAAGCAGTTTCCAATTGGCATAAATTTTGTATGTAACGCTATTATATCCAAAACTTGCCATGAAATTGTGAAACGTGAGCCTTCTCATTTCACTTTTTAAAGTTCCTTAAAATTAACAAATTGAAAAAGATAAAACAATAAAACGATTTGTCGCTGACACTTATTAATTACGCCATACGTCAAAATAACGACGTTCTTAATGAACTCTCGCTGTAAACTGTTCCAGAAGTTCTCAACTAGTTCACTGAAGTTTGGCATTAACATTTCTGGAATATTTTTTTCACAAATCCCAACGCGGCAAACGGGTCGTAAACTTCGGATCTTTTCAATAGTTTGCAAGAATATTTCATAACATTTATATAAAAACTATATTTTGTGATATTTACTGTAATGTCAATATGTATTTTGAGTCACTACGCAAGTAACCTCCACATTTTTTTCTGTGTACTGAACGAAGTAAGAATATATTACGTTAAAGTACTAATTCACTGTTGCGCCACCTACACACACTTCTATCTGTTCTCCTTTAACCAAAGGTTGTCTGTAAGAAATTGCCACAGCGATAAGAGCGCCTTTTGTACCTTTCTGGATATGTTTCAATGTGTACTTTATATTATTGATATTCACTTGAATTTTCTAATTATCTTTGTATATTTTTTATGTTTTTGGTGCAATAATGAGTTAAATAAAGTAATGGTATATCAGCGAGACCATTTTTTTATAATGAATGATAACCTCTTCTATGCTCTTGATTTATACTGATAAAGTACCAGTGACGGATAGATGTAAATGAAGCCAGGAAGATGGACTCATTTTGAAAAAAAAATCCAAAAATGAACCACGATTGTTTTTAGGTACCATGTGAAAGTTAACTTGAAAGAGCATACTTCTAAACTGGGATGCTTGTTCCCTTTATTGTTGTCTTTAGAATGATTATGTAGTTGGTACTATACTATCGTATTGTCATCAGTTTATTGGACTTAAGTTGTGTAATATATAAATACTCTACATAATACATATTTTATTAAACTATCTTGCAACTAAACTACAACTAATTTTGTTATATTAATAAACGGTAACTTTACATTGACTATTTTAATGGTTTACCATACCTGCCTTCTATGCTGCTAGACTATAAACAATTAAGTATTCCATAAAGTATAACTTACCGACCACAGAGAAGTAGACGAACGAAACACCTGTTGATAATCTTAGTGGGAGGGTGAAATATTGCATCCCTTACATAGTCTATTGTACTTTTAATAAAGGAGACAGTTAAGGTCAAGTTTCTTGTTTGTTAAAAAATATTTATGTACAATAAATATTTTTCTAAAAAAGAAAATATATATATTTTTTTTACAACACAGGGGGCAAACGAGCATGCGGCTCACCTGATGGTAAGTGACCACCGCCGCCCATGATCACCCACAACACCAGCGGCATTACAGGTGCGCTGCCGGCCTTTTAAAAAGAAATATACTCTTTTCTTGAAGGTTATGTTGTCGTATCGGTTCGGAAATACTGCTGCTGGAAGTTGATTCCAAGAAATGGTTGTGCGTGGAAGAAAGTGCAACATATATATACTAATATTACAAAGCGGAAATATTTGATTCATTGTTTATAATGGATAAACTTAAAAACGACTCCACAGATTTAAAAATTCTTTCACCTATAGACGCTGATAACGTAGCTTGCGTTATCAGCGTTCTTATATAGGTTATATTATTTTCAAAAATTTTATCTAGTCATGTGAAGCCGGGCCGGATCACTAGTATTTTACACCTATATTTTACACTTCATAATAAACCTACATGCAAACTAATTAATAAAAAATTCATCAGGCGCAATAAAAAAAAATACTTGATAAGTTAAGATATAGGTTTGAAGAGAAACATGAGATCGAGCTATCAATAACATAATTTTTTAACCTATTAATTAATTCATAACAGTAAAATATTTATGCAACTAGGAATGACATACAAGCTAACTCATCTACTTGTATCTAAACTAATAATATAAAAAGCGATAGATTCAATTTCTTTTATATTTGTGTCTAATGAATAAACTCAAGAACTACTCAATGAATGTTAAAAATTCTTTCACGTGTAGAAAGCTATATTATCAGCAAATATTTTATTTTCAAAACATCGTGCGAATCCGGAGCAAACCGCTAGTTTTTCTATAAAAAAACTGTTTCGTTTCGTACTAAAATGACAAACTCTTCGTAGCGTATTCCACTTAATAAAGAAGCTTATTAAAACAGTCATCTCAGGAGAAATGGCTTTCATAAAACGTAAGAAAAAACAATTCTATTAACTAAATTGACTGCAGCGTACATTAAAAATAAAACTGTGTAATTAAAATTAATTTTACTGGAAATTATACATTACTGGTTTACGTGATTTTCTGCAAAGACTTCATTTGTCTTTCGACCGAAAAATTCACATTACTGTATGTCTAAGATTTATAGAATCTCATTAAGTAGTTAAAAATGTATTAATATTTTCGTATAGAACACCATCAAATAAATTTAAAAAAAAACTGATATACAGAATCCTCTCTACCAGTTTTTTTTTTTTTTGATGGGTTGAAAATGGAATGGTAACCCCGCCTGCGCTAACGGAATACGCTGGCGGAACACTAGTGAAGGATGATAGATGAGAATGAAAACAGGCCAGTTAGCCCATCATGATGAATTCATCAGGAATTAACCATGATAGTTTCCAAGGGGTACCGCGAAGATGCGACCTGGTTGGGTATATTGTTAGCAATGGGATTCTTAGTCTCCATCACTAACAATCCCTTTCTGCGAGCGGTCATGACGCTCTTGTATTGATAACCTGTTCCACCCAATATTTTAGGTTGGGATAATCCATTTTACCAGCAATTGTTTTTAGGACACTGTTTAAGCTAACACGCATCCTACTCAACAGCGAAACAATTCGTTTGCGCCGTATTGCGTAAAAATCATCCGTATGCTCTCGTGCAAACATCTGTGACGCACAGCGACGGGGTAGCCCCAACAGTGCCCTGAAGGCATTATTATATTGGACTCGAAGAGCATTGTAAATATTTTGATTATAGTTAACCCACAAGCTACCCGTGTAGAACACCTGACAAAAAGCTTTAAACAGATGTATTTTTACTTGTTTTATACACCTAGCAAACCTGCGGGCCAATATGTTACTTCTAACTGCCAATGCTCTTCTTTCGCGTTCTATGTCCATGTCATCTTTCATAATACTTGCAATAATATGTCCGAAATATTTAAAATCAATTAACACTGCAAGTACTTTTTCATTAAGTGATATATATGATATGATGTTCTTCCAAAATTATGAAATCGAGGGCAAAAACCTAAAAGATACAAAAGGCCAGAGCCCAGTGATAATTTTTATCTTATCTTTCAGACTGATCCAAGTGCGTTTTAAATTTCCTAAATATAAACTGGCCTTCTATTTACCTACAAAATTCCAGATCTCAGTAAGTAATCCACCATTTCCTTGTAACCTTTATGAAACTCAAAGTAAATGGATGAACTTTGGAAAGTAATTAGAACAAAACTAATTTTCCAGTCTTCGAGATTTACCGGGCCAACAAAGAGTGATGTTTGCATCAACTTTGTACTGATGATGTTGTTTCAATCATGAAGAGATATGCTTTAATTTGAAAAGATATAATTATAAAGGGCAGAAAATAATTATTCTTTGCCCAGAGGGGCAAAATAATTAAATCGGGTCATAACAAAGTGCGGCAACTTCGGAATTATCTATCAATTCTCAAAAACAGTTTTCAATTTATCTGTTTAATTAATTAAAAAAGAATATGTTGAAGTTTTTCAACAAAATTTAAAAATTTCAATCATACAATTATTTAGTACAAAAAATGGCGCTGTCCATATATATAATATATACGTATGTATGTATATATGTAGAAGCGAATTGATCGACTTTGTTGCATATGCATGCAAGGTACTTTTTTCAAACTTAGAAAATACAAGAAACCCCACCGGTAAATTGGAGATTTTATTCTAGATTCTTATTTTAAAATGAATTTTAAAGGTATTCCATATTTAGTTGTCAAAATTGTTCTTATACCAAACTTAGTGATTGACGTAATAGTATTTATCGATATTTAAGATTGAATCAGATTGTTTCAACATTAAAATCTGTTTAAACTTTAGCTTCTTAAGTTTTTATATTAATAAAAAAGTATAGATCTTGGAAATATAACAAAGAATCTTATTAATAGGTAATTATTTATGCTTTTTACATTCACTTTTATTATAGTATTTTGTAGTAATTACAGTTGGTTAACAATGTATATCGATATCGCTTTGTAGATTAATATCAATGCTGTCTAATCCCTAGATTGAAGGATTGAGTCGAGTTGTCATTTGTCATATGACAGATGAACGGCCACAACCGGTCCCCATACAAAACGATCAATATTATCCATTTCCTCTATTCATCTGAATAGATATCTATCTAAGGCGCTGTCATAATAATATACTTCCAGTCATATTTATTAAAAAAAATACATTTAGAATGTTCTATTTTGTCAAAATAGTGCTAATTATGAATACTTTTTTTTATGCAATTTACAATGACAAACAGGCTACTTGATGGAAAGTAGTAACCGTCAACGATAGACATGAGCAATACCATGGACATAACAGAGTATACTGTTTCGCCCATGATACCCCCTATGCGTTGCCATTCCTGAGGACTCAGGTGTTATTCCTCTGTACCCTGTGAATTCACGCCATATAGGTAGTAGGGTGGGGACCCATTAAACCGAAACCATGCAAATACAACTGCTTCACGGTAGAAACACGAATAGGACAGAGGTGCCCAAGCAAACGACTTTTGTACAAAATCTCCCTCTGGTAATAATATTAATAGGAAATTAAAATAAAAAATAAAAGTGTAAAAATTAAGTTGATTTATTTACAGTGTGTATGGCTTCCTTGTGGCGATATAAGCCTTCACGCCAGGCAATGATCGAATCCTGTTCAACAGAGCAACTATTGTGGGATAGTTCCTCTCAACTTCAGTATTGAGGAAAAGGTTTGTGGTCTCGATGATCCCGAGGAGAATGAAGTCGGCCCAGCTTAGCTGTATAAAACAAATAATTTCAAATTAGACTTGAGAAAATTAGCGGCCACACAGGAGCTTTTACTAGAAAATAGTCGTTAAAATCTGTACAGAATTAGCTAATATAAGGAATGTTAAAAATACAATACGAGAATTGGAAACATCCCCTTTGATTAAAACATTTTTACTAATATTATAAATGTGAAAGTGCGTTCGTTTGCTTATTTATGTTCTATTTATTTGTTACCTATTGGTGCGGTGGCGAACATAACAAGAGATAGTGAACTTTTATCCTGATAACACGGACGAAGTCGCGGATAAAAACTAGTGTAATAATACTTTTTCAACAGTTATACCTGTCCACCAAAATATCCGTTGTTTGCTTTTAATTGTTTCTCAAATCTCGAGAAATAAAAGTCCACAGACTCGGTCAAAATTTCTCTCTTAATCTGTTCCTTTCTGGCTGCATCTTCTTCCCTAATGTATGTTCCGACCTCTGCAATAAAAAAGATTGAAATAATCAGTAAAATCGGTGATCCTTATTACAAATGTGAACGCGAATTGCTTATTTGTCAACTTTTGACATCTTATTTGGCATCACAACTCAGCCAATATTTATAACATGTAGTTTATACTCGTAAGTACATACTATTTAGGATGGAAAAGGACATGGGCTACTTTTTATTTCGATTGATCAATATATCCAATATATAATAAAAAGTAATATATATAAATAAATGTTATGAGTATATATATAAATATAGATTAAAACATATACTTAAGTTAAATATAAATTTATATAAACATAAATGTTTAAATTTATTTCTTGTTTGCCTAACTCATCAAAGAATTTGGTAATCTCTCTCCTCAGTCGTACACACTTGAGAGATTTATCGTGGCTTTCATGATTATAGTGGCTTGTCGATGAGGCTCTTCTTCATCCATTTCTGCTCACGGCCGAGCGTGAGCATTACACAATAGATTGCAGTGTTTCCATTTTGTTGAGGTTAATGAATTTGGGAATATGGAAGTGAAAACACATGTATGTAAATCTAACATTTTAACAGTTTTCAAGATTAATAAAACATGAGTACTGCCATGAGGTTCACAGTGTATTTAGTGATATCACATATATAGGCGACGGCCATTGTAGTTTGCCACTCCAAATTCCATACACAGAATGTTTTATCTTCATAAGTTAAATAAATAATGTTTCATTTTTATAAATGGAAATACTGTCTGGGCAATTTTTCCATTTTTACTCTTCATAAGAACATTTCTAGGACTTAAATGAATATTTGAAACAAAAAAATATTGAATTAATCTTGTTATTATCGAATTTTACGATTAGCATCACATTTAATGGTTTAAAGATTTGATTATAAAGATAGATTTGTACTTACTGCTCCAGAAATCGTAAATGTTAAAGACGGCAGCATCCAAAATAGCCTGTTCGAAGGGATCCGAGGGCAAGAGGTTTGCCCTTACAGCAACGTAACGGGCAATGGCCAGGGACTGGTTCAGGCTACGGTTACCTTCTTCGTATAACGGTAGTTGACCATATGGCAGAGCTGCAAGATAAAGTAGGTGTTTAGTTGATTTTCCAGTCAAGAAAGAATAATAAGCATCACACAATCACACATATCGTCTAATCCATAAGCTTACACATCCTGTGTTAAGAGGACAGTTCGTAAACATCTGGGAGGACAACTCAGGACAAGACTCAGGTCAATCGACGAGAATTGGCCTGATCTAGAATCGAAACCAGAATCATAAGATTCTGGTTTCGATTCTAGATAATAATTATATAAAGCAACATGGTGGACATTGCTCCATGCAGAATGTGAAAACAATATATCACGGGATCTTCTGGATATCGTAAGGGACAACACAGGGATGATAATCAATATATCTATTAAAGAGAAGAAAAAGTCAAAAGAAAACTCTATAGGCTCTGAACCTATCATTAAAATATTAATGGTAGGTCATAAATTCCTTTGGAGGAGGAGAGGCTTGTACTGTTCTTGACAACCAATAAGACTATATGTTATACTTGTAACCTCTAACCTTCATCACAGATTATATAATTATTTAATATAATAAATGAAATTAGTACTTACAATCTTTCACACTTTTAATGGGCCAACTGGATCTCTCATATCTGACATCCTCGAATTTTTCACCACTGTAGTACAAAATGTACCGTATCGATTCTGCCAACCCGTTCAAATTGAAGTAGTGTAATTTCTTTGCCATATTGTCAATGTCTAGATCCGAACGAATATGCCACTTTGCTGTCTCGAAACAGATCTTTATATACACTTACCTCATAAACCACAAACAAAAGGGCACTATCTGCAAAAATATGTTTTTATAGTACTTTGAATAACAAATAAGATAAAGCTCCACCTGATAAAAAGTGGTAACCGTTCCCTTTACATATGAATAGTATCATTAACACCATAGAATATACTGTGATTCCAGAGGATTAGGACTTTATGATTCCAAAAATTTCAAATATAGTCTTTTAAAAATTTGAAAAGAATTTCTATCATAATTTTAATACACATTTCAGGGGGGAAAGGGATTGTTAGCAATGGAGTTTGACAGCCCCATTACTAGCAATATGCCTTATTAGGTCGACCTCCACGTGGGTTCCCCTGAAAACCATCGTGAACAATTCTTGTTGACTTTGTCACGATGGGCTAACTGACCTGCTTCATACTCACCTATCTTCCTTCACTGGTACCCCGCTGGTGTATACCGATAGCGCGGGTGGGGTTACCATTCCATTATCATCCATTAAAAAAAAATCCATATTTCAATTTGAAGCGACACGTTCACACAAGTGATATGAGGATATCATCCTTTAATGGTGAGAAGTTGTGTATATGTATTAGCATTATTTTTAATTTTACTATTATTTTAATAAATAACTATCAATCCGGGCTGTTTTCGCGCGAGTTACGGATACATTATTCACTAGTAATTTAGCTTTGCATAGATGAAAGAATTTTTAAAATCAGTCAAATTGTGTTTATTTTTATCCTTTACAACAAACAAACAATCAAGTTTTTCTTCTTTATAATGTTAGATATAAAACAACAGATTAAATAATTCTAAGTAGAATGACGATGTCTATTATTTCTTATAGGCAATATGAAATTAAATAAAAAAGTACAGTATGGAAAATTTATTTTTAAGATTTTTTACTAATTTGTAATTAATTGAATACAGCTATAATATTATACATAATTATACAATCGCTGTGTGACAGATTTAACACAAATGCTACCATAAATTAAAATGGCATGAACGAACGGATAATAAAGAAATATATTGTCGTCATAATTGTTTTTGGAACTATTTGTATATATGCTTATTCATATAAAAAACAATCTACTATAATTTTTGCTAAATTTCAACTTAAACCCTTTTGTTGTAACGTTCATTATCTTGGTTATAGGTATGTGTGAATGTAAATAAAAATACAATTCATGTTGAATATTTCATATCAGACCATCCTCTGAGATGATAAGCGCTTATTATCGGATGGCATGACTTTTAAAATTTTAAGTGACACATTATTTTGTAGATAAATTATTTACAGCAATTACTTCACTTTTGTCTGCTAATTCAAAATTATATAATTCCTACTAACGTCATTATAAAAGTTTGTGTCCCACAAAAAAACCGATTTTATTTGTGACACACTAGTTTTTTTTTTTTCTAAAAACTAAACTACTAAATCAATTTTCATAATTTTTTTACGGAACAAAACTGTAATCAGATAAAAAAAAATTACTTTTTTTCTAACCACAAACGTCAATCATTTGTGTAATACTACCTGAGATTCATTATATACATATATGTATACAGACAATATGTTTTATATATTCTACCTATAGATGGGACAACTGCGATATACAGAGATAAACTGCGACTTATCTATTATATAATGAATATCGTTAATACGAGTATATCAAAATAAACTATGTGATTTTTAGTGACCTATATTTATTTATTTACTTATTGCATGTCATACAGATAACAAAAACCCAGTTTGGGCTTTGCAAATAACGGTAGATACATTACATTTTTGCAATTACAAACACTTAAATATTTCAATTAAATATTACATTACATTCTATATAATACATATTACATTGTTATTTAAACCACATAACAGCATTGTAACTTCATGGATTACTTTTTGATTCCAGGATTCTTGACTTCAAAGTTTTGCGTATGTTATTTCGCATAATGAAGTTTTGCGCATATAATTACTATTTGGAATCAACTTCCAGCAACAGTATTTCCGAACCGATATGACAACATAACCTTCAAGAAAAGAGTATATTCCGTTTTAAAAGGCCATGGCAGCACACCTGCAATGCAGTTGTGTTTACGTTGATGTTGTATGGGTGATTTTATGGTTATAGCGGCACCTGGTAGTCTCTTACTATGTCCATGGTACTGTTCATGTCTATAGGCGACGGTTAGGTGAGCCGCATGCTCGTTTGCCCCCTGTGTTATAAAAAATATATAATAAAATACATTAAAAAAATACGTTATAATAGATCCCTACTTTTTCAGCAGTCGGCTAAAAACTTATCAAATATTATTTTTTTTCTATCGTTATTTGATTGACTTAAAAATAAGTAAGAGGTTATCAATTCTGTGTTTTTATTGTTTGCATATTTGCTCATATTATATCAGGTATTGCATTAGCTTTCTTCCATATATATTCTTTAAATTTTAACAATTATGCATATTGTATTGGTACTCAGATGAGTCCCTGAAATATAATTTAATTAATATGACCGAATTCATCAAGACAATCTATAAACTTTAATTGTACGGTCATTACTCTTATACATTCTACAGTTTTCTTTCAGCTTCTCAAAGGTTGACTGTAAGAGATCCCTTTATGGGATAAGTCCGCCATTGTATATTAAATCATTTATTGTATTCAATGTGAATTATGTACAATAAAGATTTTACAATACAAAAAAAATACAATATAATCTACACTTTGTTTTCCCAAGAAATCATCATTACTAATTCCAGGCAAATTTATCAATCACTAGGCCAACTAACTTTTTTTTTTATATAACTTAGAATGCCAAGCAAACTGACGACCCACCTGATGGTAAATGGTAACCGTCGCCTATAGACATATATAAAACAGTACCATGGATATAGCAGAGTATACTGTTTTGTCCATGATAACCCCTATGCATTGCCATTCCTGAGGACTCAGGTATTATTCCTTTGTACCCTATATATTCATTGCCATATCCCACCCTTCAAACTGAAACACAACCATGCAAACACAACTGCTGTACGGTACAAATACGAATGCTACAGAAGTGCGCAAGCAAATGACTTTTGTACAAAGTCTCCCTCTGGTAAACTTCGTCCTAGTCTATTATCACTGACGGGTACTCCGCCAGAGGAAACCTATATTGTAAACGGTGTAAACATTCCATTCATCATATCATCATCATATCACCCGTTAACTATCCACTGCTGAACATAGGCCTCCCCCTTAGGGGGTTTTGCTAGTAGTTATCACGCTTGGCAGGCGGGTTGGCAACCGCAGTTAGGCTTTAGAGATGTTTTAAGACACTGCTGCCCATCTCTCACCCTCCCTTAGTCGATTCTTACGATACCCACAGGAAAAAAAGGGGTGGCCTATTCTATACCAAGACTACATGGCCAAGTTACTAAAATACTTACAGATTAAAAACTTACTCTTTTCTTATTACTTATTCTTAAAAATGTATGAAAACCTTTAAGATAACTAACGGTCACCCATCCAAATAATGATCGCTCTCGACGTTGCTTAACCTAATTTATCGACATCCTTTCACGCGTGTAATTGTAAGATTTTATATCATGTGACGAACGAATCCAATTTCACGCTATTCATTACATGGGAGGTTCACAGGTGTTGGGTCAGTATTCCGTGGCAATTACTTAGAAACCGTATTAGATACGTACCCGGACTACTGAGAAACTAGCACGCATATAAACAGGATCCTTTACTGCTATACCACTTAAGGGTTGTGGTGGAAAAGAGTACTTACATGTAGGGAATGAGTGGTAGCGTACGATTAAAAAAAAAAACAATTTCTATTAACACTTTCTTTAATTTTATAAAATAAAATAATAAATTTCATATACTAATATAATATAATACACTAATATAATATAATAGAAATGAATAATAAACATTTTCAAGTATCGGTTTCAAGATATTCCATTCTAATTTTATAGTTATTATTATAATAATTATTATTATTAAAAATTAATTTAATAGTTTAATTATTTACCTTAATTATCAACGAACCAATAAACTCCTAAAATATTTTCTATCCAAAATTAATATTGCCATTAATTCATAGTAAATCCTCTCTTTTCTATTTTTATATGAAATGTTACTTATATTATTTTGATATAGCATAATTATCTATTACTGAAAAAAAAATCGGTTTCGTAGATCTATATAGAACTAATAATAACATCATTATAGACTAAGAAAGCATTTGCGTTAACTTAATATAAGCAAACTAGAACTTAGAACAGATTCAATAATATATTCACACAAACTTCAACTTTATTGTTACAAACATAAGTTCTAACCGCAGAATATAAGTTTGTACACGCGCACAGTGGCACCACACGCGAACTTGCAGCGACAACAAGAAACCCTAGTAATTTACGGTGCCGTAGTTTGTTGCGCCTAAGGAAACACTTTATTATGGCGCCAAGTAACGTGGTAGTTGGAAAAGTTGTTACAACCACCACTTTATGTGCGCAACTTATACTTGTTTATTTATTGAAACATGTTGCACCCATAGGTGTTCACACATATATTTTTAACTAGCTGTATCCAAATAACTTTTATCACTTCAATTAAAACAAATATTTAAAGAGCGTGTCTTACAAAAAAAATCTAATTCAATTGTAACAATTATATAAAAATATAATTATGATACTGCTAAACACAGGCCTCCCGCTTGAGTGGGGGGAAGTGTTTTTTTTTATACAACTTAGAATGGCAAACAAGCTGACGGCCCCACCTGATTGAAAGTAGTAGCCGTCGCCTATAGACATGAGCGGTACCATGGACATAACAGAGTATACAGAGTAACAGGACTCAGGTGCTATTCCTCTGTACTCAGTAAATTCACGCCATATCCCACCCTTCAAACCGAAACACAGATATGCAAATACAACTGCTTCACGGTTGAAACACGAATAGGACAGAGGCACCTAAGCAATCGACTTTT